AGTCTATGTGTACGGAGTGGCAATTATAGCTACGTTAAGAAAATAAACACGTGTTTTGTGTGGGAGTGCTGAGATTTGTGAGTGATCAACATCCCCGGGTGATCAACATCCCGGTCAGCTAGCTTACATAAGCTATAATCAGGGGGTTGACATTAGCCTACTAGCCCTAACAGTAAACCGCTCTGCTAATTCTAGCAATACGGCCTGCTCACCAATCGTTCCCTCCACTAAGCAAGACGCGTAATACCACCAACACAGTAGGCGCCATGATCGTCCGATACAGACAGCAGCCAGCAGGAGCGTGTTGTCTGCCTCATAACTCCAGCTCTCAATCATGTAGACCACTCGTCGGTCTATACTATGCACACCAAGCCGCCGTACCGAGCTCGCCTCTCTACATCCTCAACACTACCATACACTCAGTTCGCGCAGATTAGTATATCAGCCGTGTGCATAATATATACCGTCCCATGTATAGTAATAAGTGTTTGTCAGTTTTACGTGCCTTTAGTTGCGTGAGTAGCCATACCATCCTGGATAGGTTCAACATCAAGAACTCAGATGTCACACCTAATATAAATGGCGGTCTTGTGCAGGACTTTCAGCGCCAGGATATACCAGATTTAACAGCGGACTTGCTAGAGTTTCGCAGGATAAGGTGTCTCCAGTAGGTCCAGATTCATTCAGGAAACTAGATGCGGGGGATACAGAGGGCTCACAGGGACGTTTACGTTCCAGGCTAGACGTTGATAGATTGGACCATAGGGCTCTACAAGAATTCACAGCGCACTTGCAGAGCAGACAGAAAACATTCATCACGCACGAAAACCAAAAGTTCAGGCAGACATCGACCAAAACGGTCACTCTTTTTAATAGTTCCTTCATCTATCTACACCCATCTACTGCTGTCACTACGTCTACTCCACTACATCTTCCGTCCTTCTTATTCTTAAACGTAGACATACTTGATCGTGATGTCGGGAACGCACATGTCATTGTATGGCTGGGGAGCAGTGAAGGGAGCAACGTAAACTGGAGATGTAGGGGCAGCGGGAAGAGCGGCGACACTGGAGGAGGCAGCAGCACCAGAGTAGGCAGCAGCGCCAGAGGGAGCAGCAACGCCAGAGGAAGCAGCAACGCTAGAGGAAGCAGCAACACTGGAGGAAACAGCAGCGCTTGAAGATGCAACACCGGCAACGCGAACAGACGAGGCGACGGCAGAAGAAGAAGCGCTGGGCGTAGGTGTGGGAGCGGCACATAGAGGGGCGGCGGCATTGATCTTTCCAACGGTCCAGTTCGAGGCGTCCTCGGTGTACTTCTCAAAGAGGGTCAAGTGCTTGTCGACGTCGTCGCCGCCGGCGCAGATTGGGTCTCCCTTAGAGCAGTAAGAGCGCAGAACGGGTGCGTAGCGGTTCAGGCGCGCAAGAGAGGTGGCGTCGCGACCGTTCTTCTGTAGATCAGAGCCGTCGCCAACGTTGTATGGCATGTTCTTCTCGTGCTTGACATCGCCCCAGAGGAGAGCAGCAGCAACTAAGTTACCACATTAGCACGGTCAAGGTTCGAGTGTGTCATGTCAGGAATACTTACTAGCATTACCAGGAGCCGAGGTAGGGTCTAGACCAGTGGTGATCTGGGAGCATCCACCAGGTCCAGCAAGGACATCACCCATAATCCAGGCACCCTGAGAGAAGCCATTGAGGATGAGGTGCGTGCAAGGGCACTTCTTGTTGAAAGCAGTGATCTGGGATAGACCGTTGCGGACTCCCTCGCCAATCTGTTTGCAGTAGTCGCCGCCGTACGGGAATACAATCTCAATGTAGTCGCAGGTCTTGCCCTCAGCCCTTAGTTTGGCGCACGTAGCGTCGGCGTAGGGGAATGTACGCCAGTCGTGGTACGGCGCAGTGTTACCGCGGGCCATGAAGATGACGGCATCGGCGCAGGGAGCGTCGAGCTTGGGGGGTGGCGAGGCTGGGTCTTGAGCGACGGCGACAGCGGCGACAGCGCTGAGCGCGAGGAGGTTGCGGATGATGGAAGACATTATTAGATATTAAAGAGTGTGGTATTAATCGGTCGTCAAAAAACGAGTGTACTGGTTAGGTTGCGAGGTTGGAAGACCTGTGAGAAGAAGAAAGTCCTCTTGGCTGCGGGGGGAACAGTTTAATAGGAGCGCGTTCATCCTGCATTCCAGCCGAACTGAGTGTCGACTCGGCTCGAACGGGCGGAAAAGGGTAGTGTGCCTGACTAGGTAGATACGAGTTGGATCCCTTTTTGGGTGAGCTATCTATCTTGGGTCGTGCGCTAGCAGGAGCGCGGACAAACGTCGTATTATTGAGATTGAGGCTGACAAGAAGGTTTTGGAGGATGGCGCAGAGGCCGGATGTCCCCTTGATAGATACCGTCAGACTCTGCCATCTTTGCGAAATGGGTCAACGGGACATCTGAGACGTTGCTATTGAGGTTTGCATCGAAGCTAATTTCTAGCTCATGGGATTAAGCAGGAACCAAGAAAAATGCTAGCGTGCGTGTCAAAGCTTGGTCGATCCTCCATATACGAAGGTATACGGGGTGGAGATTACACCCCTGAGCTTGTCCTAGATAAGACCCCGTGCACGTCCCCTCGGCCAACCCGAAATGTCTTAGCTCTTGCTGGAACTCTTCGAGGGCTGCCGTGCCTCATGCCAGACATTCGACGATCTAGATGCACTTTACTTGTTGGATGCAGTCAAGTTTATCTCTCACGCCACTCTAGCTCCCAAGCTTGTCATACGTCGGTGCCTGAAGCACCACCAACACTAGTATAGCATATATGCTATCCCTCCGACCTCCGGTGCCGACCTTTTCGCAAACCACAGCTCTTGCCAATCTACACCTCGGAAAGAGCAGAGACATACATCATGTGCCCGAACTTTCTACCAGAAGCGACAGCTCAGACGGAGCAATAGAGGTTGACCATAGCCATCTGGAAGAGTCCGGTACACTGCTTGTACATAACTGAGCGGACGGTAAGCCTAGCTCTTATGCAACAATCATAAGTTCCTCAATTTCCTGTATGCAGCAATCTTCCTATCTGCATACCGACTATCAGCACATATTCTTAGGTTATTATCTCTACGGCCGGCAGCTCCTTTGTTGTGATCAGCACCTTGCCCACTGTCCAAGTCTGCCTACTCGACCATCTCTTTGGCGGCCGCGCGTCATGCAACATTGCGCGAGCTGATCCATAGAGTGCTCGCTGTCGCCTCTTGATTTGGCACATTCGTCCCGGGAAGCGCAATAGGTTGTCATTCTGGACGTGTAAAGTACGTGTTGCTTGAGGGTAGGCGGATACGCGAGGTAGGTCTCAGGTGCGGGGTCTGGTGGCTCCAAATCGTCGCCCGTAATGCGGATGTCAGCCAGCCGTGCTTTCGCGTAAGCCGTTGGCGCAACGATGAGAAGAGGGGGAGGGGGACGATGAGTTCGAATGCGTAGGGAAGAATGTGCGGATGACAAGATGGACAGCGACAGAAGAAGAGTCGTTGTGCATAGTCACGCTGCTCCCAAGCTTCAAGCCTCATGGTCAACCATACATTCTTCGCACCACAACTGGACATCGAAATCCTGTTTCATCGAGGTTGTCTTGTCCATCTGTTCCATACACGACCACGAGATTCACCCGCTCGAGTTGTCTCCTTCTTCACGTAATCCTAGCTGAAACATCTGCAGCTAGTACCAGCGGAATTTCAGCTTGAGCGGGGAAATGCTGGTCTGCACGTCCACACATGAGTCTGCCATCCATCTGAGAACGCCAGGCTACACATGATATCCTTTCAAAAACACATGCGTATTGACTCAGCTTCCATCGCCCTCACCCTTTTTCATCGTGTTCTCGACGTATAAAGTTTGCATAAACGCCACGAAACATTCAGCCGTACCTGAAAACGACTATAACATTGCAAACATGTCCCTATATAGGGTAACAAAACGGCCTGGTGATAGCCAAAGCCAAAGCCTGTTCTCTTTCCTCGACCTTGTCCTAGGAAATACCAATAATCTTCGGTTTCCCTAATCTGTAAAAGACAGGAGGTCATGACGATCATGGGGACAAAACCAGACGAAGATGAGCCTACCGATCTAGCACGTATGTGGGACGATGCTAGTATACAGTACTACAATACCACCGAGATGAGAGCAATAGATCTCAAACACTTCAAGAACGCAGATGAAATATTGGCAGACAGAGACATCCAAAAGAATTTCCTGAAGGTATCTCACCCCTGCTTTACACTGCACGTCATGTCCTGACTTGTCCAAACAGTGGAGAGAGTACGGAGGACCCGTCGCCGGAGATAAAGTGAAAAAGATGAGACGCCTCATCGTTGAAAATTCCACGTACATTCTCAAAGGGGCAGAGTTACTCGCGAATTCAGCATCTGCAGCTTTTCCGCCTAGCTCAGCCATTCTCACGGCGCTGACCTGGGTCATGAAAGCCTCTGGGGGTGTTTCGAAAGACTATGACCAGATACAAGCTTTCGTCGAGGAGCTGAACGAATTCTTGCAACGATTAAGCATGATTGAGAAGACTGTACCCAAGTCTACAGGTTACAGGCTGCACTTGATGAACGTGTTCGTTGTGATCATGAAGATCCTTGGTCTTGCTACCAAAGCCACAAAAGAAGGTAGACTCAAGAGGTTTGGAAAGACGATTCTACGGGGCGGCGGTGACGATGCCTCAGCGGGTGCATATTCGAGCCTAGTGACGGCCTTTGCCCGCCTGGAATCTGCAACGAATTTCGCAAATCTTGCTGTTGGATATGCGAACCTTGAAAACACCAATCAGATCAAGCAAGCCGCCTGGGATCTGAACGCAGGGCAACAAGATGTCAGCGAAAGAGTTACAGTGCTATATGAACTCAACCAGACGATGTTGGCAAAGGTTGATTCTTTCATCCTTGCGCAAAACAAAGCAACGAAAGAGTTGGTAGGAGAAGCTCAGCCAGCAGGAGTTGGGGAAAGTAGGCAGTCAACTCTGTCCACGGTTAAGGCAGCCCTTTCTACCAAAGATGATCCGAGTATCATAGATCGCGACATTGAATACTCTTTTGTTGAAGGAACAACGTCCTGGATGTTTCAACGGGAAGAATACACTTCGTGGAGAGAAGAATCGTCGACGCGCCCGCTGCTCTGGATTACTGGAGACCCTGGCACTGGAAAGTCGTGTATCGCATACTCAGCCACGAAAGAACTTGCGATATCCACCGCTAGTGAATCAAGAACTTTCGTCGCACATTTTTACTGGCGAGAAGGTTCGAAGGAAATGGATCCCTTGACAAGCGCAATGAAATCAATTGTCGCTCAGATCGCATCTCAAGACTCCGCTTACTGTAACGAAGTTGCAACGCAATTAGCCTGTGCTGGCTCTACATTCTCCCAGGAAAAGGGAGCGCGTTATTTCTGGAAGAGATGTATCACATCAAGATTCTCCGTGGACACCAAGGCTCGTCTTTACCTCGTTCTGGATGGGCTGGACGAGGTCAATGAAATTGTAAATGCCGAGAGCTTGTTTCGTAAAGAACTGCTAGTTATGCTCAAGGAGGTTGTTAAGCACAAACTATCGATTCGCGTCATGTTACTAAGCCGACCAAGCTGGAAACCATATCTGGAAACCTTTGGTCAGGAACTCTCCGCAATCACGGTAACAAAGGAAGTGGTACTGATTGACATGCGCATCGTTATTGATACACAACTCAACACGCGTTCGCGTCTCCACAAGGCCCGTATACCGATGAAGAAGATTATAAGGTCAACCCTACTTCAGAAAGCTGACTGCATGTTGTATGTCGAGCATATGCTCAGGCGTCTCAACAAAAGACAAGACGAGAAAACAATCCTGGAAGAGTTACGAAATGCGCCATCGAACCTGACCAGCCTATTGGACTCTATAGGAATGGAAATTCAAAGCAGGCGAACGGAAGCACAACTGTTTGCTATCCAAAACGTCTATGCCTGGCTGGCGTTCTCATGCCGTCCGCTGACTGTAGGAGAAATCAACGAAGTAGCAAGGACGTGCGGCCACTATCAAGCGTTCAATATTGCCGACGAAGTCTTGACTAGATCCGTCGGCTTTTTGAACATCGTCGGAGTCGCCGAAGTCAACGAAGACGATGAACAAGATGGACCCGTGACTGAAAATGAGGCGGTACCAGATGTTAGTGGCATTGATGTATTCCAACCTTACGACGGAGATGCTTCGCTCGTAAAGGTATTGAATCGGCCATTGAAGGACTATTTGCGTACAAATGACACCGAATCACCAAATCTACGCATCTCAACTCAGCGTTGCCATATCACGATCTTTGAGCTCTCAGTCAAATTGATTTGCTCACTTGATCCGCGATCAGCGAAAGAAGGCGGTTCTACACTGAACAGATACGCCGCAACGTACTGGGGAAAACACTTCCGACAGATCGAATTGCAGAAGACGTCTGATCAAGAAGTTGCGTCAATCATGCAGATGATGAGATGCATATTGACGAACTACAACGATGCTGCCAAATTCATAGAGGCGCATTGCGATACCGACGATGATACAAATTTCTACTATGAGAGTTTAGGCGAAACGAAGCGGGTGGGAAATGAGTTCATGAACTCATTGGCGCTCTGGATGGAACGTGCGTCGGCGATATCTCCTGACGTTGTTGATGAAGCCACACTGCAGTGGATTCGCAAGTCAAGGCACGAGTCACTCAAGCTTATGACGCCACTGGTGAAGGGCCATATTGTGAACTGGTTAGGGGAATCGAAAGAAGAGAGCAATTCTTACGAGTTTTTGGTGGACCTTTTGAACCTCGTAAGTCGTAGTCGGGCCGTACCCTTAATTTGAAGGAGTAGACTTTCCTCAAAGTGTCGTCGCAATACAGGATTTCGGGAGTCTGATCGAGGAACGCTAACAAGTCAATGCAGACAGATCTAGGACCTGCGGAGTGTCCCTGGCGCACAGGAAGCGACGATCTCGATTTCATCAAAGCGGTTGCCTTGATATTCGATGATATCCATCTGAATTCGACCGCCCTGAGAGCTATCGGAAACCTTTTGGCCGAACATGAGCACATTGCCCCGGCCTTGGAATATTATCAACTAAGCCTGAACTTGGCAGAAAACGAGGTCGACAAAATGAAGACGCGTTTGAAATTTTCGGATTTGCTGATCAAGAATCTAGTCGACGGCACATGGGGAGTGGTCGAACAGGATCAAGCTCAGCAAGCTCAGCAAGCCCAGCCTGAGAAATTGTACGTCATTCCCAAACCCGAACCGGATGTCAAGCGGCATGACGAAGGAGATGGCGTGGACAGTATGGACGAGGCAAACTACGTCGAACGATTCAGAAATCCATACGAGTTGCTGCAAGCGACCACATCTACAAATCCTCCAACAAGCGATCAAGCTCTCCTCAAACTCTATCAAGATTCATTGATCAATCAATCGTATTGCGAGATGAGGCTGGGTCTGTTTGAGAAAGCATATGCATCATTCGAGAGAGCCCGATCAATTCTACCTGACGAGTTACTAGACGGCGAGAGCCTTGCGATCCTCCCAAGTATTCTCACCGTAAAACAAGACAAATTTCAAGAGGTGGTAGAGAAGCTTCATGGCTGGAACGTTCTTGAACTGATAGCGTGGCTCAGTCAGGAATACGAAGTGCCAGGCAAATTCGCAGAAGATCCTAACACTACCTTTTGTAGAGCTGGTCACCGGGCTGGAAATGATGAGTTTGTTACTAAGGCGTATGAAGAGATCATTTGTTTCATGGACCAGGGAAAAATGATTGGTGTGCGGGGAATGAGATATCGCCTGGCTCAATTTCATATCAACGTTTCACGGGACCTTGAGAAGGCCAAAAGACTGCTTTACCAGGTACGTGATTTAGAGTGTGATTCCCAGTCCTCGAGCTCGAGTCTTGTGTCGAGATGGATCGTTTTGTCTTTGCCACCTATTACTGTTTGCTGACTATGATGAACCGTACAGATCCTAGGAAGCCACAATAAACGAGATGAATATGGTCTCATGGCAGAAGAGGAGCTCCCGACTCTCGCTCGAAAAGTATTAGCAGAGATCCTTTATGAACAGTTCCGCTCAACCGCCAAACCCGTTGGAAAGGCAGGATTCGTGGAAGAGATGAGCCGGTTACAAGATCAACGACTCAAACACGCTCGCATAGTAGAAGCATACGAATATCTAACAACAACCATCTACGCAAGCATGCTTCGAAAAATGGGCTCTACCATAACATTCCAGGAGGTTCTGAATGATACATTCGACTTCTGTATTGCCTCGTTGACGGATGCTGAAGGCTGGAATGATGATATCTGCCTACGGTTGTTGGCAAAGGTCTTAGCCTTAGTCGGTGGCCTCGAAAGAGAAGCTCAGATTGCCTTTTCGTTGCAGTACTCAACCCTTGATCCAAAGGTGAAGTTGGAGGAAGACCCCTTTGAAAGCTCTGACTCATCAGATGATGAAAATGATGAAGATGAAGATGGTATCCCACAGGAAGATGAGCAGAAAAGCGCTGAAGCCTCGACCGTAGCGGAGAGCGACAGCGATGACGAAGATAGCGAAGTGATAAAGGATGATGACTGGGGCGACCTCTCTGGAGTTGAACTCTCATGCTGTGGCGAACAACATATGGACAACCCTGTCGCTGTTGGTTGGGACGACGGGCCGATGTATCTCTGCATCCTTTGCGCAGAAACGCAGCTTTGCCAAGGATGCTTCGACAAGGTTCGCCAATACTCCCGGTCCGATAAATGGTCATATTGGAAAACATATTGTGGTCGAGATCACAAATATATAGAGGGCCCTATAGATGGTTGGAAGGGGGTCAGAGATGGGGTGATGGTAATTGGGGAAGTTGAACAGAATGTAGCAGATTGGATCCAACAGTTGAAGGAGGTTAAGTGGCCGGGAGCATGGGAGACGTTTTGGGTAAGACAGGATGGTGTTGTGGATATTTTGGGGAAATGAGTACTGCTTGTGATGAAAGAGCCACTTAGCCTTCTAGTGTGCTAATACAACCATAACTACAGGCTACTCGAGTGCTAGACGCATATTGGCTAACAGGAAAAGATTAAGTTCGTTAGGTCGTATGAATGAAGAAGGAAAAATAGCTAGGAGTCTCACTGGAGAGGCCGCAGTAAAAGCAATAGAAAAGACGGAAGAGACAGTAAGCCGTGTCTTGGCGGCAAACTATTCTTAACGCTAGCGCGTCTCTACTGGAGCGAGGAGCATTAGACGAACGCAGGCTAAAGAATGACTATTAACGACCGCTTAACGCTATAGTGGGGCTGCGGCGATGGATTCGTGTTTCCTGGAAAGGGTGACCGAGGGCGAAGAATGGCTAAGTGTCTTTGAAACGGCACCGCGAGTTTTGACGGACGGCAATGAGGACTAATACTCAGTGTCCCGTGGTCGTATATGGCATAGTGAATAATTTTCCATTTATGAAGAGCCTGGAGAGTCATCAGGGTGAATCAACTATTTGGCGAGTGGTAGAAAATGTGACGAACTGAACTGCATCAACATACTGACGCGCTGGCGCTTTGACGCTAAGCATGGTCCAACCTGCTTGGGCTTCAGAGCCTTTTCTTTTCGTCATCTCCGTCCACCCGTTCCTCCTTCTCTTCAACTCCAGCATATAACTCATGTGGTTCAATATTTCCCACGTCTTCCGCACTCAAACCTGCATGTCTGAACCGCTCTCCCTCACCACCCAAATCTCCCCACTGAATCCCATTATCTGGAAATCCCTCTAATGACGTTGTCGATGCCATGATCACTCTCACACTGCCAAACATCTGCGGAATAAACCCCTCGCGCTTATACGTAAAAGCCCACCAGCACACAGCTGTCATCAAAAGGATCAGAAATGTTGCGAACCACAGAGGATACGCAGCCCACTTCAGTATGTATTTGGAGTGCTCGACGTGTCGTCCTGGGCTATGTTCGATCCAGATAGCTTCATGCGCTTGCAAGGCCTCGCCGAGCATCCAGTGCGTAAGGGTAGAGTAGGCCATGATGGGAAACAGGATCTTCTTGGGCAGTTGCAGCAGGTAAGTCTGGTTGAAAGAGGTACCAGAGACGAGTGTTGTGCGGATGCGTTTGCGGCGGTATTCGAGTTTACCCCAGTCGGATTCTTGCGATATGAGTGTAATATTGTATATCATCATAAGATAGAGAAGGGAGTATATGAACTGTGCAGCGTTGGAGCTATGCAATGTGAGCTTCGGCGTGGCAACTAGGGAAGCTTGGCAGTGGGTATAACTTACATGCCGAACGCGATGAATTCGTTGGACAGGTTATCTGGAGTAAGGGAAGTGACTGTTAAAGAGCGGTTGAAACCTCCAAAGCCGCCGGATATCGATTCAAAATACTCCGTTGAGCTCATGTGGCATCCGCGAAAATCTGGAGCATCAGGCCCATATTTCTGACAATAACGGTTCCGACGAGTAGCAGAAGATCCCAAGCTGTTTGGGTTTCTTAGTGGGAGATCTTGCTAAGAACGTGATAACTTACAGCACAGCAGCCGTCAGCGAAGCGGTAAGAAGTGCAAGGCTACAGAACATCATAATCAACATCTGCGTCAACGCCGTGTTGCCGAGGTTGCTGATCAGACTCTTTTTGATCTTGGTTGCGATGGTAGGTTGTGGAAGATTTGCAAATTTGTCCTCTGTGTTCCATTTCTTGCATTTCTGGCAGTGGCCAATCTCGTCTGTACATGTGTCAATGTTACAAGGTAGTTTAATCATTGAGATCTATTCTTACCACCAGTTTTGGACTCTTCATGGTTGAAGCAGTGCTTGTGACAGGTATGTGAATACAGTCGACGAAAGCTGTCAGTAGCGTTGACCATACACTCTCTACTCGTCGTTAGCGGATTAGCTGACAGTGTGAAAGGAGATTACAGACCCTTGCAACTTGAGCGCTGGATCAGCCGCAGACGCAACAATCACGTCACCGAATGTCAGACAATGCTGCTTTACCTTGCCACGAGCTAACAGATTGACAGCACACATGTACACCGCTTTAATGACCAAGCAGCCCATGAGCACAAACGCGGCACTCATACGGACGTTCAGACGGCATTTAGATGCCGTTTGTTCGTGTAGCGTACAGATGACATCCTCTCCCATGGAACAACTGCCTGCCCTATAAGCGGATGGATAGGGATATTGAGAAAATACTAATTCTTTTGTCTCAAGGTCATTGACTCCTTCGATCTTGACAGTCTGATTATATTGTGTACAATTTTCTGTAGTATAGTGAACAATCATTTTGCGCCAAGACATGTCGAAGTTTTCCTGGTATTCGTTAAAGATACCATCATCCATTGACGAGACGTCGACGAAATGGATCGGGTAGTGAGCCTTCCCTGAACCTGAGTCGAAAGTGTGATTAGCATGTGCCCAGCTGCGTGCGGATATCTGCCTGTCGTGTGGAAACATTCAGTGTGCGTCTAGGTTGTGCATGTTGTCTGCAAGCACCAGATGCATGACTGGGAAGCATGACTTGGAAGTGTGACTTACTGCTGACGGTTAGTATTAATCACAAACAGTAGTGTCGTCGCCAGGCCCGTACCGGAATGCGCTCCAACATGGAAACGATAAATCACCGTTCAAATAAAACCCACCACTCAACTTGCTGATTGAAGTGACGTCAAGTTCTGGTAGATCCACAGGGTTGAACTCGACAACTTCAGGTAATTCCTGGGTATATGAAGGGCCTATGAGGGAGTTTGCGAGAAAGTGTACTGGCATCGATGTGAAGATTAAGAGGAACCACGCAGCCCATGCGCACTTCTTGCCTTTTTCCTTATGCCGGATGTTCAACGGCGAATTTGTTCCCACTCTGGAGTCTCCAAATTTTGACAACGCATATCTTAAGTCGCTTATTCTAAGAGAAGTGACAATTTGCTGATAAGTGTTGCTCATTCCCAGGACCATGGTCGCGCATACGTTGATGAAGAGTAGGCAAGCTGTGTTAGTGTGCGTGACCCTTTTGCAAGAATCTGGCTCCCCACCCACGGAGGTAGAACCTACATTTGTGCGGTTGACAATATGCTTGATGTTACACGCGATCAGGATAATCATACCGAGTGCGAGAGCGCTCATCGTCATGGCCATCGTGCGGAATGACCGATCGCTCAACAGCTGATCTTTCCAAATACCGCGACCAACTCGTGCGGGTTCAATGTCGGCGGCAGCATGCCTTCTAATGGAGCCTCGGAGATACTTTGGCAGTGGTCGCCTTCGGAGGAGGTTCTTCAATTTTGTCGTGCTGCTTCCAGTAGCGGTCGATCGGAAGCTTTCGAAGCTTTTTCTACTAGAGCTGTCGGGACCACTGTGTTGTTGAGTGGAATCGTATTGCGGAAGATACGGTGATGGGTCGGACGGAGCATACTGCGAAGAAGAGAGTCGCCGCAATGGCATCTGCGAATCCCGCGCATGGAGTAATCCGATTGTATCGCGGAATTCGTCGTTTACGGACAACCTTGAATTAGATCAGCATGTCTGCCATACCTCCAATCAGCCTACCATGACCTACTCGGTTATATCCTGGTCGTGTCTGGATACATGGGGAGTCAGTAGCCGATCGTAGCTCCAACTTTTGGCCATTGTTGTAGCCTACTCCAGACCACGTCCAGAAGCTCGGTCTCTTGGTAGGCTATCTTTCAAATTAGTCGAGTGGACTTGCGACAGCGCGTCAGCGACTGAATCTTGTCGTTGCTGTCACACACCCACAGCAACGAAGAAAAAAAGAGTGATGCATGTAGTAGTTTTAGATGAAGAGCATGGTAGCAGTCTGAAGTAGACTGCACGCCGTCGCCGACTCAAGGCTTGGAACAGCCCAGCCAAGACCAGCCACCTCACAAAGCGGACACTTATCATTGGGGTACAACCTGAGAACCCCGTTGTGCAACCCTGAGTCGTGCGTGTATCCTGTAAGCCGCCCCTGTCCCGGCACAAAGAGTGCATCCCGATACTGTTAACTAGCACGGTAATCTTTCGATCTGAGCCAGATAACGATTGAGAACCGGTCAATATGCACAAGCAAATGATGCATGTTTGGTCTCGAGGGTAGTGGGCCAATGCTGTGTACACACTCAGTCAGCTTGCGCGGGATCCTGGCACTGTGGCGCTTGCATGACGCCTTGAAACTCGCCTCCAGCCCTAAGATCAAATAGTGGAGGACAGGCAGGGCCTAGAACATGACATAATCATTTGGGGGCCGAAACCTCAAAGTTTAAAGGTAGCTCCAGTTAATTCCTTTAGGCTGTGTGATGGTGGTAGTGGTGGAGAGTGCTGTGGTGGTTGGAAGATTGCAAAGACCGCTCAGCCGCATGACGCTAACGTGCTCCACTTCAGGCCGCCTGCAAGTTCCGATATACCCAATTGTAACAACGTGACAGACGGCACATAGACGCGAATATTCTGATCTCAGTATTTTATGATCTATCGTGGGAGATGCAGTAGTTCAGTAGACTCTACGACTGGTCGGTGGTGGTTTCAACTAACGACTTGGAGTTCATGACAGTACCGACCGTTCCGTAAAAGCAACGTGGTCGATCCTAAGAATTACAATCTGCGCATCTACATGAACGCTGTTACCACTGCAATCCGCACAGTGATCAAACACGGTCAAGTCTATTGAGTTGACAGATGGCTTCATGAATCAAGTGTTAGTGTTAGCAAGTTGGACGGATTTCTCTTTATATAATGAACAAACTATAGCAGGAAGCAGTCGAGTGTAGTTACTCCACCTAACAGGATTGATTCGATGTTAAGACTTGGCTAACGGAGGCTCGAAAGGAAAAAGTCTTGCTACAGATATAACATCATCTCCTCACACCTGGGAGATCTTGAATCCTCCCGGCAGTAGTCTCTGGTAGACACCGAAGGGATCGTACTTCTTTGCGACCTTCTTCATGAACGACACCTTGTCAGCACCGTAAGCTGAAAGCGGATCCT